TTGGAGATATGGAGAAGGATTTTGATGAGGTGGAGGCATCTAGGTGTTCTGCACCTGAAGATGGTAACTCTTCTCCACTTGAGAAAATAAAGGAAATTCTCAAAACTTTATCTGAAAGGTTGATAACTGGGTAGTTAGTAGCTGGAGCTATGTATTTTAGGTGATTTTTGGTGTGGAAGTCCCCTTGAGAATTTTTCTTCACTTGTGTTACTTCCCTCATGCCTTCAGGCTGGGGTCTCTCTGCAGATCTCTCTCATAACTTTATCAATTAACATGATGGGCTTAAAAGCAGGCTGTGGGTGAAAAACCAGGGGTGGGTTCTTGCTGCAGGGCAGGGTGAGAAGGGCCCAGATTTGGGTGGGTTGGGGAATCTTCCCAAGCACATCAGCTCTGTCGAGCGTGGTGGAGCATTTGCATTGCCCTCTTGTGGCAAGTGCCCTGGAGCCGCTGGGGTCAGGAGGCTTTCTGCCTTACGTTGTCCACAGCCTGCCTTACGGATGGAGAACTGTCTTCCCGACAGCAGAACTGTGATTAAACAGTTCTGCAGTTTGTAGTCTGGTTTTTAATTCAGCAGCCTCTCCAGCAGAACCATGGCTTTCCTAATTGAGAAGCGTGATTTAGCGTGAAAACCTGAAAGTGAAGTTGATGGGATGTAGGAAATGAAACTGATAGTTCAGGATACATTATTGAAACGACGTTCTAAAATACATAGTCTAAGATCTAATTGTAGCTCTCTAATTATTTGCAGTTAAAGTTGCCTGAAGGTTTTTGTAATGCCTCAGTGATATTAATAGTTTCAGAAACTTGATGGAAGGAACAAAACAGAGAACAAAGGCACTGAAAATTAGATAATCCGTTCTTTCAGTGTTGCCTGCATTTCTATTCTTTCCACCAAATAGCATTCTTCTACTAGGAATCAGTGGTGGGATTAGATCCTGCAGTTGTTTAAAACAACCCCGCAGCAAAACACGAGTGTGCGAAAATCTGGGCTACCAACCTGCTGAGAATTAATTTCTGAATTAAATGTTGTTGCGTTTCTTTCTGTAAATAGTGAGGAGAAGCTGTGTGTGTGCACAAATGCCCTGCAGACCCCTCCTGGAGGGCAATGCCTTGCAGCCCCTCGCTCTCTTTGTTCTCCTCGTCCTAGGGTGGCTGGGGCCAAGGGGTTTTATTGCGGCGGGAGCTGCTGCGGGTGAATTCCTGCGTGTGCCTTCCCGGGCCTGCTGCCCCTCTAATTGTTGTGTTGTCAGAAGGCGTGTGCCTCAGAAAGCCTTATCTGATTCCTCCAAAAGCCTTGCAAGCAATTCAGATGTTGACCCCTTGAGCGCAAACAACTCTCCCAGCCGCCTGCCTTGGGGCATAGCTTCAAGACGAGGTTTAGTGCTTGTGTGTGTGCAAACCCTGGGGCTGGCTTTGTCACCAGGGATGGAGCACCTGCCTGGGGAGGGGAGCAAGGGGCCAGGGAAGGTGAAAGGCTGGTGGGACTTAGAGGGGGAGAAGGAGAGTCCAACAGCTGCTTGTGTCAGCACAGGGATAAATGCAAGGAGATTAATAGTTATTTAAAGAGCAAATGGGGACATGGCATTTGGCTGTGGCATCCGTGTGTATAAATGTGGTGGAATGGCTGTTCCGCTGGTAACATTTAGACAGATGGTCCCTGGACTGAAAGGAATGAGAAGGATCTTTGATTGTCTTAAGGATATCTTAAATTTTAATGGGGCAGTTATTTATTTATTTTTTTTTAAATTGACTTCCAGGCAGCACCTTCAGCGTTTCCAGACTGTGCTGTCTTGTTAACACCAACTGCCCGTTTGGCCATCTTTCTCCATCAGCTTAAGTAGCCTGGGGTTAGAGGGAACAGTTTTTAAGTGAAAGCTGAAACGCTATTGTTTTGCTGTCTGTCTGTCTGAGCGGGTTTAGGAGACTGTTTTCATCACAGCCGTCTTTTCATCATTCTGCTGGTTAGGGAGTGTGTCTGATGCTAATCTCCATGAGAAATTAAACAACTGAGTGATACTTCTACATTTTTGTGAAGTCTTTAGGTCTTATTAGGGTATTCTAGGGCAGGAGGGCACAGAGGTTTCTTTTTTTGGTTAAAACAAAATTATTGAGCAGGAAAAAGACTGTTCCTGGTGCAGTGCACCATTGTTCTGGCTCTTCCCATACAGAATTAGCCTCAAGGGAAAAACATGTACCAAACGTCCATTAAATAGGTCTTGGTTGGCTGAATAGCCTGCAGGAGATGAGACATAACTGCCATCTGCATTGCCAAAGCTGTGATCTCCTTTTGGAGAAGAACCACCAGGCTGGATCACTTTCTCCTGTGTGAACTATTTAGCATGTTTTGAATCCAATCATAGACATCTCCTTGCTTATCCAACAGAGGTGCTGGGCATCTATAACATCTCCACTGTTGTAGATGGGGAAACTGAGGCAGGGAGGATGAATGAATAACCTGAGGCAACACAGAGAGTCACTGGTTCACCCAGGATTAGAACTCAATATGTAATTGCTTTTATTACTCTGCTGCCTGAAGGCCTCAGACAAAACGGAGGCCCATTAAGCGGAGCTCTTTTTACATAGTGAGGAGCAATCCTTGCCCTGCAGACCTTGCTGCCTGAAGTAGGCTGAGGGTGGAGAGGGAGGCGAGGTGGCTTGCCCCAGGACACAGCACATCACTGGCAGAACAGGGGAGGGAACCAGCTCTCCCTTCTCTCTGCAGACCATCCCAGCTCCCAGAAGTGAAGTCCTGTGTGCTGTTCCCCATCAGACCTTCTTCCCACCACGGCTCATATTAGCAAGCTGATCCATCTCTGGCAAGTCTGATGTGCCTTGCTGAAGACCCAACAGCACCAGGCTCACCTTGGGCTTTTAATTAAAACTCTATAAAATATCAGCCTCTTGCAGCAAAACAGAAACCTAAGGAAGAGCTCTATGTGGTGGCTCAAATTTCTCTACCTCCTCCTCTTCTGGAAGGACAGCTGAGAGCGCAAAGTGTTTGGGTGTAGGGAGGGCACTTCGTCCTTGGAAAGGGACCAGCCTGTTTTCATCAATGGCTGAAATGACTGGAGAAACTAGGTATTACATGGTTTATCCAAGGTCCCTGGGAAGCTCAGCAGGTAGCTTGTGCCATTCCCTTTCAGGTCCTTGGAAAAGTGGTGATATGCTTGAAGCTTCATTGGGGCTGGTGGGATTCCCATTATCCGGAAAGCTTGATGGGCCTTGCTGTTGGTGCTCTGACTCGGGGAGCCTTTGTTGCTTGGCTGATAATACAGAGTTGCCTCTGGAAAAGGAGCAACTGTTGGAAAGAAGAGGGAAGTCTGGCTGAAGTACTGAGAGATGCAAGAGCTTGATGGCTTTGGATGGGATTGAAGACACAGCTTGTGGAGAGGTATGAGGTGCTTGGAGCCTTGAACAAGGGGAAGAGCCTGAGTCCCTTTTGCTGTGTCAGCTGCTGACTGCAGAACCAGGCGTGTGTATTGCTGTGTGTTCCTGGGTGATCTCGGAGCTGTTGGCGGTGGGTACCACAAACCTTTTGGATGCTGGTTTCCCTAAGCTGGACACAAACAGTGCCCTCTGGACACACACAATGATGAGACTATGTGTACCTGGCTGAACCCCATGCACCATTCACCTACTGCACTGTCTCCAGTGCTGGGTCCTTTGGAGGAATGAAACATGGGGACAATTGTGTAACTGTCTCCCCAGAGTACTTTTCCAACTTCCAGCTGTTTGTGGTTCAGAATTTTAAAATCAGATACACTACCCTGATGGATTTTTCTCCAGTGGGAATTGTCTGATGCCTTTCTGAACCTACATGAAGAACTATTCTGTGTGTGTTTAAACCAAAATCCTGCTCAAGATGTTTTCTTTTCTCCCAACTCCTCTATTTAAGAGAACATGAAAATTCATTTCCTATTTGCTTTTTTTCCACATATTGTTTAGGAATGTATCCACTTCTGTCGTCCTGTGTTCCACCTCTCTCCTCATTGTCTCTTTTTCAGCTTGGAAAAGTTGTCATCTACTACTGCATTCCAGGAAGGCATTGAAAGAGTCTGCTCATTCTTGTCACTTTTCTTCAGTTTGTTCCCCTCTCATCTCTTTGAGTTCGGGGACCGGGGCTGTACATAAAATTTAGGACATTAGGCTTATGATTCTTCTGCTAACCTCTTCCTGATCCAACCTTTGCCTTTCTATACTTCATTATCTAGCCTTCATTTTTGATGTCTTCAGTTGTTTCATATGTCACTTGTACCTAGAGGCTACTTTTTGGGCACAATCACATCCGCTTATTTAAGTGCTACACACTGTGCAACTGCTGCTGCTTAAGTATGTGGGGAAGCCTTCCATGCTGTGAGCTACCATGCTGCTTGATGAGATCTTTAATTCTTCTCTACTGCTGTCTGTGATGGGTCACTGGGAACTGAGTGCATGGTGCAACCTGATTAAGTGCTACGAACCTTTTCTCCAGTGAGGCACACTTCCATACTGTTACTACCTGAGCTACAGGTCCTAAGGTTCATTGTACATAGCAGGATTGAAAAGCACAAGAAGAGGAGCAGTCTTTCTGCTCAGTAGAACCTGAGACTGTCAGAGACTATGTAGCCTTGTATGAGCTAGAGCCAGTTGCACTGTATTGAACCTGGTGATTTTTGTCAGGTTATAGCAGTCTCTTCAAAAGGGATGTTGATAGACATAGGGAGCCTGTCTTCTCATGATGGCTTGCTGCCCTGCAAGTCACCTCCTTATTATGTGGAAGCTCTTTTCCCAGGTTGGCTGTTGATCTACTGTGTGGCTGTGAGAAGCTTTACTTCTTTCTGTTTCAATCACTGATGTAAAAAGGGATATATCCTTTGCAAATCTCCCTCTTCTTGGTTTGACACATGCTCAATGGTGCTGAGATCATGCTGTGCATCCTCCACCTTGAAAGCTATGCCATGGCTAGCCAGCCCGTGCTAACATTGCTTCTGTAACACTTCTGTGCATCTCTTTGCCTCTAGCCGCAGTACACGAACCTGGGGCTCCTGAACAGCATGGACCAGCAGATCCAGAATGGCTCTTCCTCCACCAGTCCCTACAACACGGAGCACGCGCAGAACAGCGTCACGGCCCCTTCGCCTTACGCCCAGCCCAGCTCGACTTTTGATGCGCTCTCACCCTCCCCAGCCATCCCTTCCAACACAGACTACCCAGGACCCCACAGCTTCGATGTATCATTTCAGCAGTCCAGCACAGCAAAGTCTGCAACGTGGACGGTAAGGATACAGCATCGCTTTGCTCCTTCTCTGGCAGTAGTGACTTTATTCATGAGATGTATCCAGGCTCGTGCAAGAACAGAGTGACTTGTGTCCTCTTCAGTGCATGACATGTCACACAGAAGGGAGAGATTTATCTTGACTGCTCTGGGAGGGTGTGGTGGGAATTTGACCCTCAATAATATCACTAAATCCCAGATGAATAAAATGCCTTGCAAAAAGATAGCCGCCTAAAGACCGTAAGTGATGAAACAGTGGCTCTCCACTTGGGTCTAGTAGATATGCTGGAGTAAAACATGGGGTGGGCATAAGCATGGCTTCAGTGCTTCCCTTTGCTTTCTTCAGCATCCAGGGGTTTGCGTGAGGTTTGGTGTGCAGGGCTATGCCAGCAGGACAGAGGTGGTGCTCCAGCTCACACCCATTGGGGCTTTCTCTTTCTCCCTGTTCTGCCCCTCTCGCAGCTGGTGTGAGAACTCCAGTGTCACCAGTTTGGGTTAGCCCTGCAGTATTTGCATTGTTTGTGTGTGTTTGTGTGTGTGTGTGTGTGTGCGTATATTTGTTGGTTGGTTGGGTTGTTTTGGGTTTTGGTTGTTTTGGGTTTTTTACTTAACACTCTATTCTTGATGTCAGAATAGTCCCTTTCTTATTAAAAAAATGTATGGAAGCCAGCTCTTGATTTTTGGTGGAGCTGTGTTGATTGTTCAAGCTGTAGAAACTTCATAGCCCAAGACCCAGCACTGCTGGAACTGTACATCCTGTTGTGGTTTAGGGTTCTAGAGTAGAGTTGTTTGCAGTGGAAAATATTACTGTCTTAAAGATGTTCAATATTTGCAGCATTCTCCTTTAGGCGCTTGGAACAGAAGCAGTGAATAATGCCCTACCTCATGCTACCTGAATAAAAGCAGGGACTTGTTTGGGTTTTTTTGGGGGGTGTTTTTTTAAATAAAAAAGAGACACTTTTTACCAAAAGCTAAGAGTATTAAAATAGTGTGGGGTTTTTTTCTTTTTTTTTTTTTTTTTTTTTTTTTTAATCTGAGGAAATACTTCAATCTCTCATTTAAATCTATCAGGAATTGTAACTAACAAACTCCCAGCCACTGCTGCCAGCAAAGCAGTAGAGCCTATAGGCTCCACTGTGGAAAAGATGCCAGAAAACAACGAATCACTGCAAGTTTCCTTTATATTTTAAAAGCCTTTTCTAGTAAAATTTGTCTAAAACTGGTAACAATAACTTTGTTCAGGAAACTGTGTTTTATGGGGTTAAAACATGATAGGTCTGCTCAAGACCAAATTTTTCATTTGTTTATGCATAAAAGGGTGAAGGATTTTTAAGTGAAGGTGAAATTGCACCTTTTCCTTATCTGCATCGGGAGTGATGCTCTGCTGTAGTTCACGCTCATTTTCATGACTGAGTTTCTCTACTTACACTACACACACTATTTATTTTCACTTCCCTTCAAGTAAGGAAATCATCGGTCAGTTCTACTTTCCATTTCTTAAAGCAAGAAAATGCTGCCCTTGAATTTTGCAGACTGCTCTGGAGAGGGTCCTTTGAAGGAGATAAGAAAAGACGTTCTCTTTTGATACGTGTGATACAAAGAATTATCTAACGCAGCTGCAGGGAACAGGAGCGTTTGATGCTGTCCTTTCAACTACGAAAAGTGGTCTTTTGAAATGAGGTTTGAACGTATGTAGTAGGCTGTTCCAGCAGAGCTGGAGATGAGTGAGCTACTTGTGAGCTTAAAGTTAAGCAAGGACTTGAGATGTTTCACTGTAGTGAATAGTGGCTTTCTGGGGCAGAAGTGGAGGCTGAGTTTTAATGTAGATCTGGGTAGTAGTCAAAGATCAGATTACATGCTGGCTTTAAAAAAAATAAAGTTGCTCCTTGGTGACTACAGTCGCCAAATGTGTGCAGCCTGGGGGCGGGCACGTTTAGCTTCCCCTCCTTTTCTTTTGGTCTGATGTGGCCCCAACAGATGAAGATATGCTCTCTGTACCTTTTGCAATCTGTTGAGGGATAAGTCTGTGTATTTTAATAAAGAAATGGGGTCCCAAATAGCTCTCTGATCTGGGAGGAGCAAGCACAGTCCAGGTGTCCCTGCACTGAGCCAAGTGACCTAGATTGAGCTGCTCATGCAGGAGCTGGCAGCACACTCTGTGTTTGCAGTGAATGATGACAGTCTTGTGGTGGTGGCTGAGGACCTTCAATCAATACGCCTTTCACAGCAGAGCATCTTTCCATCTTCGGAGCTCTGCCCTCGTGCTAATTAATCCACCAACTCATTTCACATGGGCTCTTGAGCGGTTGGTAATATGCATTCGACAGCTTTATCAGTGGGGTGGGTGGGGAAGGACGTGAAGGCTCTTTTTCCCGTTGTCGTCCTGAGAAATGTGGAAACATGCGTGAAATGTTGATGAAAGGAGTGATTGCCCCATCCTCTCAGCAAGAGCAAGTTCTTGGAGTTGCTCATCCCCCCCATGTGACTTCATACACTTTGATTAATGCCTGTCGTCTTTTTTTAATGATGGATTAGGAACTTACCCAACTGGAAGAGTTTCTTCCACTGCAGTGACCTATTAAAAGTTTAATTACTAGATGGCCCCACCCTTATTAAGAGTCCAAAACTTGAAAGCCTTGTTTCTTAGTTCTTTTTTTCCCCTCTTGCCATTCCCCAGGGCAACAGTATTAGGTAAGGAAATCCACTGTATCGCACTTTCCCCTGTTTGGGAGTGGATGAGCCAGGCTGACCCACCTTGCCCTGCTGAGAAGGCTTGCTGGTGACTGGTAGGGGATCTGCTGTCCTGGCTGACAACGTGCTTCATCAGAGCTCCTCTGAGCTTCTTCTGGGCTGAGTCATGTCAGATTAGGTCATGGGAGTGAAGGTTGTGGGCTTGGTAAAAGGACTGGATTATTTCTCTAAAAAGCAAGAGCTGCTTTAATTGGAGGATGAGAGACCTGTGTGCTTTGGAGACAGTAATCTGGAATAATGTGTAGATCCACTGGTTACTTGTTCTGGAGCTGGGGGAAAGGAGAAACTCATGAAGTTTCCTAAATGCTATGTCTCTGAAAACAGCCCTAAAATAATATTTTTTCCTAAAACCTGTTTTTTCAAGTTCTCAAGGCTCTTTCTGTGGGAGAGGCTTATTGTCCTAGGATGGTAGGACAAATCAATAGTATTTTTACAGGATAGGCTGGGGGGGAGAGGAGTGTAGCATTAGGGTGGCTTCTCTGCTCAGGTTTGTGATAGGCTCTTAATTAAAGTGTGTGTGGCAGCCCTAAAATAATATTTTTTCCTAAAACCTGTTTTTTCAAGTTCTCAAGGCTCTTTCTGTGGGAGAGGCTTATTGTCCTAGGATGGTAGGACAAATCAATAGTATTTTTACAGGATAGGCTGGGGGGGAGAGGAGTGTAGCATTAGGGTGGCTTCTCTGCTCAGGTTTGTGATAGGCTCTTAATTAAAGTGTGTGTGGGGGGGGGGTGGAACCAGGCCAAAACTGTAGAGAGAAACACTAGTTGCTGCTGGGTGAGAGGGTGACTTCGTATGTATGAGCAGTTCACTTTGAAAATATTACAAATTTTCTCTCTGAAGTCTTTCATGACCTTAAGTAGGAATTCCAGTAAAACGTGCTGTCTAATCAGCCTAGCTCTTCATTTGTATGCAATGTTGAACTAATTAATGATGACAAATTGAAATTGGATTGCAGAGGACTTTATAAGCATCCTTGATTATTTTTTTAATTAATGACCTGAGAACACAAGTGAGAATATAAGCAGGTTAATCAGTCTTTTCAGAAGGAATATCTTTAACAATTGAAGTGCTACTGAAGTGTTTAAAAACAAAAGCTTTCATAGTCTGAATTGAACAAAGTTTCTCATGCATACTCATGGTACGATAAAACCTTCTTGAAAACCGCACTGTGAAGGAACAAGCAGTTATCACTTTGTAACACTGAGATAGAGACTAAGTTGTCGAGGTTGCGTGAGAAGCCCTGTGAATTGGGTGAAGAAAGAACTTACCCAGTACTGTGTGTCATTTATTGTGGGATATTTCCTCCATGAGAATTCCCATATTCCCATGCCTTGCAATATCTCCTTCTGTTTCTGCAGCAGAAGAAAACAAGGCATTTCAAAAGTGTGCCACATCAGATTTTTTTTTTTCTTTGTGGAAGTAAATTGTGTGCTGGTCTTCCCCACCCACTCAGAATGCAGATAAATAAATAAACAACTGCATTGGCTTTTCCCTCTAAAAAAAAGATTTGGCAATCACCTGTCACTAGCAGAACCTGTTACATTGGGAAGAACATGATTGCAGTAGGAAAGTAAAAATTAAAATTGTATGTCAAAGTAAGTAAAAGTTAACATTACTGCCAAACTCAAGCTATCAAAAAATGAATCAGACCCACCCATCCCCATAAGCAAGATACCACCTTATAAGTCATGAGACTCCTTTTAAAGTCAAACAGGTTCTTCTGATTCTCCCCCAGAGCCTTTTTGAGCCTTTAGGGTGCATCTACTAAGTCTTTTAAAGCTTTTTTTTGGTAATCACAAGGGTTAAGGAAAAAGGCAGAAATAGCTTTAAGTTTTTAAAATGAAAACTGAAATTTATTTGCAAATTTTCGATTCTGCTGAAGACAGACACCCAGCCCTGCAAGACTTGCATAATTCAAGTGTTGGCAATACCTGAGTTTTGCACTTTATTCTCATGCCCTGCAGTAGGCTGGAGCTGAGCTGGGTTGGTCCTTACAGGGCTTTATTATGAAACATGGAGTTCTGTGAAGCTGTAACCTATGCTCCAGTCGGGCTCACTGGTTCTCCTGTTCACAAACTCAGCTGTACCCACAGCTCTAAGAACATCTTCAGATTTCAGAATTTCTTTGAGCTGCATAGCAGCCTGTGTAACGTGCATGAAAGCAAATAAATGGATTGTGCTGGCTGGGGTTAGTGGGTTTGGAAAAGCTGTATTTTAAGGAAGGCGAAAGGAATGCACTTAAATTAGTCC